TAAGTTTATTTGGAGGGAGAGAGTGCACACACAAGTGGGGAGGGACAGAGAGAGGGAGGGAGAATCCCAAGCAGGCTCCATTCTGTCAGTGCAGAGCCCAACATGGGGCTTAGTGCCTTTAACCATGAGATCATGACCTGAGCCGAAACCAAGAGTTGGACGCTTAACCGACTGAGCCACCCAGGGTCCCCAGTTTATTTATGGTGGGAATAGACAGTTCAGTGTTTTTTATATTTACTCCCAACAAAACCGGAAGGTTATATTATTCCCATTTTATGATGAAGTGGGCTCAGAGAGGTCAAGTAACACACCTAAGGCCACAGAAAGAGCTTGAATTTAAGTTTTTGCAGTCTAGTTCCAGAGCCCAAATTTCAGCCTTTAGTGATTGTGCAGTGGCAGTGAGAGCTCTATTGTGAGGTGCACCCAGAGTTCTGGCTTCCCTGTGGGTCCCAAGGCTCCATACCTGCCTGATGCAAGCCTCTGTCTCCAGTGCACTTTGGTTCCAGGTGGCAACGGGTGCCAGCACCGGTGTGGTCCATGGAGTGTTGGCCAGTCGCCCAATTTAGATCTCCAAAATTCTTCCTTGTGTCTATATGGAGAAGTGGAGCACAGTTCACACAACCACTGAAGTGTCCTGGCCATGCCCCAACTTGGAGGGAATACGATGGTACATGGTGGGAAGACTGCTTTCCTTAACCACTCATTTTCCTAATTCTTGTAGCCATTGCCCTACTTCAGAGATACCAGAGCCAAGGTCAGTCCAGGGCCACTCTCGCTGGCAGTCTAGTTCACCTTGCCAAGTGAAGCAGCTTAAAATCTTCCTTTGTATCCCCTTCATGTGGATAGGTCTACTGCTAGGACTGTGGGTCCCTTTGCAGCTGCTCTTCAGTAGCTTCTTGTGGCTTTCTGCTTTAGGAAACAAGCACTAGGAATCAGGAACCTTTTTTTCTCAGCATTGTGTGCCAGAGGAGCGGGGCCAAGTCATTTAACTTTTTTAAACCTCTGTTGCTTTAATTACCAGGGTAGCCAAGGATGCTACCTCATTGAGTTCTTGTGGACTAGCAGAGAGGATTGATGAGTCATCAAATCTACAGGGCTGTTGTGCGGTTTGAATTTGGCTGGGATCTTCAAAGGGCCCACAAACCTAAGGCACTACTGATTGAAATCCTCTCACCAGACCTTAACCTCTTCCCTTGTGGGTTCCTAGGGCTGATCTGTCATTTCTGGTACTTCAGTTCTCCTTAGCAGAACATAGCCAAGATCTTAAGAAAGCCCTGAGAGGAATTATTCTGACAAGCTGACAGCTTTTCCTAGGAATGTATTTTTATCTCTCTTTTCCTCCTCCAAAATCTAGGGCAAGAGACTCTTTGAGGACCAGATTTGTGAGCCAAATCCTGACAAGCCATGAAGCCAATCTTGGGCAAGTTGCTTCCCTTTTCTGGGCTGCCTTGAAGCCAGCCAACCTTTTTTTGCCTTCAGACAATCTCTGTGCAGTTCATTGAGTGCTGAGAGCTTGGTATCTTTTTGTGCCGAATTGTCTGCTGCCACAGGCCTAAAGGGTAGAGCAAGGCCTTGGAGCTACAGTAGGAATTTTCTCACCAAGTAGACACTGTAACGAGTCTCTGTCTCCCCTACCACCCCAGGGAAGGTGTTGCAGTAGAAGCCAGGGAGTTCTCAGACACCACCTCGGGGAATCTGGATGCTTTTCTGGGCAGTAATATTTATTTATTTATTTTTTTTTAATTTTTTTTTTTTTCAACATTTATTTATTTTTGGGACAGAGAGAGACAGAGCATGAACGGGGGAGGGGCAGAGAGAGAGGGAGACACAGAATCGGAAACAGGCTCCAGGCTCTGAGCCATCAGCCCAGAGCCTGATGCGGGGCTCGAACTCACGGACCGCGAGATCGTGACCTGGCTGAAGTCGGACGCTTAACCGACTGCGCCACCCAGGCGCCCCTGGGCAGTTAATATTTAAATCAGGCTAGGATTGATTTTGCTCTGTACTTGAAGTGCCTTACAGTGCTGCTACTATGGCTGGGTGTTGCTTGGATGGATTCCCAGAACCCCACATCAAATAGACTGCTCGGGAAGAAATTCATGGCGATGGAAGATCTGGGGATAGTCTTCATTCTTATCCTCCACCCCCAAACTGGGCCAGGGATAGCCCCTTGGCCTTCCATCGTCCCTCCATTTTCACTGTCTGTAAATTGGTAAGTGTGTTTGTTTCAAAGGAGAGAGGTCTTAAGGCACAAATTAAGCCATAGTTTTGGTAGGATTGCATAAATAATTGCCCTTCTCTGAGTTCACACAATACTTTTACATTTCTCACAGCAATTACCATTTTCATTGTGCCATCCTCTCAGCTGAGACCTAATCTCATCTCTCCTGCCCCTCAGTGGTGCCGTGTGCAAAACCCTTAGGTTCTGGCCAACAACAGGTGCTCACCAAATGTTAGGGTGGGAGAGGCACAGCTCATTCTGTTATTTATGGGTTGATTAACCTCAGGGATTTAAACCCTACCCCTTTGCCCCTTGAATCACATGTCCTTATGAACGGTCCTTTTCCTGTTTACAAGGTATGTTTCCCTCCTTTAAGACAAAATGTCACCCTTTTTGGCTTCATGATCAGGGGACAGACTGCTGCTGTTATGTTGCATAAATTTCACATATAATAACTTCTGTTCCTATCCAGAGTAATTGTGATTTTGTTTTTTAATGTTTATTTTTGAGAGCAAGCAAGAGAGCGTACAAGGAGAGGGGCAGAGAGAGGGAGAATCCCAAGCAGGTTCCACACTGCCAGTGCAGAGCCTGATGCAGTGCTTGAACTCACAAACCGTGAGATCATGACCTGAGCCGCAATCAAGGGCCACTCAACTGATTGAGCCACCCAGGCGCCCCCAAGAGTGATTGTTTTAAGAAGAGTGAATCTGATCCTGTTACCCCCAAACTTAAAACCCTCTAATGGCTCCCAGTTAGTCTTTTAGGATAAAGGTGAAATTCCTAAGATAGCCTGTAAGGCTCTAATGAACTGTGCCTAGAACTTCCCTCTTTAGATTCCTACTGCACTTTCTTCTGCCACAGAGCTCCCTTTTTGGTTCCTAGTGTGGGTCACACTCTACCTGATCAGGTGCCTTCACACGAGCTGCTTCCTCACTTGGACTAGCAACTGCCAGTCCACCGCCCAATCCCCCGATCCCAATCACTGTTGTGTTTTCAGAGTGTCCTGTACTCCACCCTCCATTGTGCTTACAAAAGATGTAATTAACGTTTGTTTCTCTGCTAGGAACCACATAGGCCTCCCCTCCTTCATCACCTAAATCCTGGCTCATAGTAGGAATTCAAATCACTGATCAATGAATTCAGGTGCTTTTATTGTGAGAGGTTTCGTGGGACTCTGAAATGGTCTATAATGAGAAATTTGGTCTTCGGATAAAAGGGATTTTGTGTCCACAACATGCAATTTCTCATGGTAATAACAGATTTAGAAATACATTTGTTCCTACTAAACAGTCCTCACACTGGCTGGAAACCAACCCCTTTCCCAGTATGTTATTCCGGTGTAGTGAAAGGACTTTTTAAAGGAAAAATATTTTGTATGATTGTGCAAGGCGTTTCCCCCTCCTTACATAACTTATTTTATCATCGAAACCGTGCTGTCCAGTAGCAGCCACTAGCCACCATGGCTAATTATAAAATAAAAAAACTGGCTTCTCAGCTTCACTAGTCACATTCAAGTTCTTAACAGCCACATGTAGCTAATGGCTATAAATTGAGGATAGCACAGATGTAGAACACTTCCAACACTGCCAAGATTTTACTGGACAGAGTTGGTGTAGAACTTTTGCCAACGCTGGGTTTTGGGGTTTTTTTTGGTTTGATCTGTCAGGGAGATAGAAATCAAGGTATGTTAAACTGTTACATTAAAAGTTCCCACACACCCAAAGCACACAGGGAGGACCTGACATTTTGATGAGCTCAACAAAACCTGTACATACTTATCTTTGTTCGGCCTGGTACCTTGTACATGAATTACAAGGAATCCCAGTATCTCTGCCTTTTTTAAAAATGTAAAACGGATAACCCTGCCTCCTTAGGGAATGCTGAAGCTAACACGGGCCTCGTGTACTTTTACCACTTGGTTGCAGTGGTGCACGGACAGGTTAGTATCTCCAGACTGTTGTATCCTACCCCTAAAAAATCGGGAAATTTTGCTCTAAAATTCACAGGTAGTCAGAATTTACACACCAGCATTTCCATCTAGGTTGCAATAAATAAAGCTTAAGTAGCATTGAATCCATCACTAAACTTGCTTTTCTGGGGACCTAAGCAACGTCCATAAATCTTTTAAAAAATTATAGACATGTTTAATTGCAGGATGTTGTCCCTTCTGATCATTAATACCCTACTTGCTTTTCTGCTCAAAATATGACATGTTCTCCCTTTTTGGTCTCACTTAAGGCAAAGTCTAATCCTAGCAGGATATTAATACCATAGGAAGTGAGACTTGAGTAGTTTTAAGTGAATTTAATTGAACATATGAAGTCAAATAGAGTCAACCTGATGTCCTTGGAGATATTCTGGCTTATTTTTTCCTGGTAAAGCATTCTAATCTGAGTTTGCTAACCTGTAAAGTGAAAAGAGCAACTCTAATTATTTAGACAGAAGGAACCCGACCATATGCAGGAGCATACTTGTCAATGTCTCAAGATGCTGGCTAACTTTTCTTCACCCATTACTGACTGAGGCCACATTACCTAGACTGCACCAAACCCCTCCTTCTACATCTAAATTTCAGGCAATTACTCATTTGAATTTTGTAGTTTGAGCACAACTAAGAAAGAACCAGAAGATACAAGAGCCAGAAGATACTGGTAGTAAATAACAGTAGTAAATAACTGGTAGTAAATAACAGTATATAACACAACAGTAAATAACACAAAAAGGTACTTAAGTGTTAGAAACGTTTATTTGTCAAAATATTAAAAAAAAAAAGTGGGAGGAGTGGAATAAAACAAGGCTAAATTTCAGCTAATGCTGTACCACGATCACAGGTCAGACATAAAAAAACAAAACAAACAAAACAACCCCCCTCCCCCAAAACCCCAATGGTCCTAGCAGTTTCAGAAGATTAGCTTCAATGTTAGAGTCCAGAGCTAACAGAGAAGAGTAAAAGGTCGCTTGCCACTACATGGTCATTTTAAAGGGAAAGGAGATGTTGCAGGTAGACAGGGAGAAGGGTTCAACTCCTAAGGAAAGCAAGATAAGAGGGGTTCCACTGTACAGGAAAAAGGGGATGCCAGCATAATCCTTACCTAGGGCTGCTCAGAGGCTGAGAATATAAGGAATAGAGTGAAAGGCTACAGAGACTAGTATCAGGAGGAAAGAAAAGTCAACTTAGAAGAATTAAATTAAGAAAGAAAACATAGTTGGTCACAAACTCCTTTGTTTACTGAAACATGAAGCAATGGAAACATCCCGGCAAAGGGGACCGCGCGGAGCAAGTTCTCATATATGACCGCAGCCCGAGGGTTCAGTCCGCAATTATCCTACCTGAAAGAGAGCACAACACAAGAGGCTTACACAATGCCTGGAGAGCAGCTTGGCTCCGAGCACAAGGGCCCTGGTCCCGTCCTGTATTCCAGGGGGAAAAGAACAAAGAACAAAACAAAACCAAGTCAGACTGGATCAAACTTACATCCCATGTAATTACCAAGGACTCTACTTCTAGTTATATATATAGAATTAGAAGCAATCTATCTGGCAGACTGCTGTGTTGGTGATAAAATACATCTTTTCCACTCTCTTACCATCTTTTAGTCAAGACAACCTCTGTGATACAAGGCTACTGTCACTGCAACAAAGGGCATACATAGATATTATCCAAAACCATAATTTAATTTCTAGGTCCAGAAAAAAGCAGAAGATGCCAAGATCTCAAATATGGCCAACTGTACTACTCTAAATTTGTTTTGCTTTACTCTTTCATAAGTAAACAAGTTTCATAAACAGCAATCACAAAGCGTATCAAGGAATGGTTCATTCACCCTCCAACATGTCATACTGTCACACATTTAGAGCCATAATTCCAGGAGTTCCCCTAATTGATCACATCTCCCTTACCAAATCAAAGGAAGAAATCCTAAAATTCCCTAATTCTTCCATTGATGATGGGAACTCCAGACACCAATGGCTGGGGGAGAAAAGAAGTTAACTCACACCAAGTTCCTCTACTTATTACAGACAAAGGGCCAAATCTTGGTCTTGATCTGTACCAACCGACTTCAAAAGCTGTGACGTTCTTGAATCAGTTCTGCTAGGGTGAGACCCAAATTCAGATCCCCAACAGTTCTGGAGTATTTCATCCTGGCAGCCTCATTAACATCAGGCTCCTGGGACTGCAACCAACTCAGGGTTATTCAGTCCATTTGAGGTTCACACCTGGAAGGTAAGTTTCTTTAAAAGTCATCACTAAAAAGAGGTTAGTTGAACAACCACTGCTTGCAGTCAAAATTCACTTTAAAATACCTTAACGATACCCTTTTAAGACCATAGTACACTAATTTAACTTTGAAACACATATGAGAAAAACAGAAGTCATCTGGTAGATGATACCACCTTTAGAGAAATATCCTGCTTCATGGCAGATCCTGCTGCATTAAAAGTAAAAATTAAGGCAAGCTACACAAGGTATAAGATTACTACACGCACATGAAGATACACCACTACACAGTGGTCTCAGGAGATCCCAGTCGTGTCATGGTCACACAGGGTATAATTCATCACAGGTTCAAAGCATCATTTGCTTCTCACTACATAAAAGGGCAAATTCCTATTGCTTTATTTTCTTCTACACATATATTTACCAACAGGGTAAGTTAGGAACCCTGGAAACTCAGCGGTAACTCCATTTGACCCTCGGGTAGGCTTCCAGTTCAAGTGATGCTTGATTTCAAAGTACAAGGAAAACCATGAGAACAGAAGTTGTCGTGATGCCACTTCCACTCAGATGAAGAGATTTATCAATCTCTAGATATTACTGCTAATTATTCTTGACATTCCAACATCTTTGGCATACCTTGTCTAAAGTAGGAAAAATTAAATTTCTAGGGGCACCACCAGTGGGATTTTATACCCGTTAGAAAATTACCTATTCTACCTAGTTCCTTATAGGTTCCTCTTGAACACAAACCAAAAACTGCTAGAAGAAATGAGAAGTGTTGGGGTTCTACACGATAGTAACACAGACTCTGCAGAAACAGGGCTTAAAGTGCCCACACTGAAGACGACGCTCTGGATTACCAATTAGGAAAGGACTCCATGGGACAGTGGCATCAAAACATTTTGCTTTCAAGGGTCTTAGAACTAATAAACACCTGAAATTTATAGATCTTTATTTGGCTTATAGCTCTAGGATATTAGAAGAGCTTCCTCTGATAAAGGCTAATGACCTAAGTAGTAGTTTTGTTGGCAAGTGAGAAGTCTAAAGTTGTAGTTAAAATTCTCACTGTGACATTCATTCGTAACTCCTGAACCCGTGCTCTTCAGCTTAGACCACAGTGACTTTCATGGTGGAAAGAGAGTCATTTTGGAGTCAGCAAGGCCTGAGTTTGAACTCTACCTCTCAATTGTCAGATGACCTCAAAGTACTTAACCTCTCTGAGCCTTTGTTCCCTGCTCTGTAAAAGAGAAAACATCTTAAAGGCTTATTGTGTAGATTCAATAATATAATGTACAAAGAGGGGACTCAACAAATGTTCTCTTAACTACATTCTGTAACCCAGATTGCTTACGCTTGATTAAATAATATTCGCACTAACTGAGTTTGTTGTTCTCTCAGAAGGAAAAAGTTGGTTGGGAGTCGTACACTAAAAAACCTCAAGAGGCCAAATGAACCTCTGGCCTAAGCTAGAGAAATATTTAAAACTACTACTATGTAATTTATACCACTTGGAGACTGTCCTGACAGCAAACAAACAGGTGGCTTTAGCCTCCTCCATGCAGCACAGGTCTCTTTCAAGGAAACAAAATAGAGTCTCTTAACCACACCCACCCCACTCTCACCTCCAGTTTTTAAAAGGCTGAGTACCGCGCTCGGTCCACATACTGCTCCCGCTCATACCGGGCCATGTCATACAGAGAATTCCGTGCAGCTGCTGAAGCCTGAGACAGCTCACTCTCTGGCCCATAACCGTAGCCCTCTCCAACTGTGGGGAGCACAGCTGCAGCACGACGCAGGGGGCTCCGGTCCCTTCCATAATAGGAGGAACTGTTGGCAGCAGCAGCAGCCATAGCAGCCGAAGTGGCAGCAGCACCTGAGTTCGGCAACAGGTGTCTGTCGTAGGGATCAACAGAAGTGGAGTTGAGGTGACTGGTCACAGCTGTGCTCTGGACTTGAGGCAGATGGGACATGGTCTGCTCCGCGTAGTTGTACGCAGAAGCTGCTGCCGCCGCTGCCACTGCCTCGTAAGAGCGGACCCGATAACGCTTATAGTAGTCGAGTGCTCCATATGCATCGTTGTAATACATGGATTCCCCGTAGCCCATGGTGTAAGGCGTGCGCACTGCTCCATACTGTTCATTATACTGCTCGGTAAAGTCCGCCACACGGCCTGTACGATCTACTGGACACTCTTTGGACCAGTGCCCCTCTTTCCCACACCGATAGCAGCCACTCTGGTCTCCCATCCCAGGGGCAGTCCGAAGCCGGCTGGTGGACAACTGCACGTGCATTCTTTTGCCTTGAGAAAATAGATGTAAGAAGACTTATTATAACTCAATGACATTCTTTAATCCTCCCCAAAACGAAAGTAAACTAGTTGGTCTAAGACACACATACATACACACACTCCTGCAACCCTACTTCAGCAATTCCCTCCAAAAGATGAAGTTACTTTTCAATATAGATGACAGCTAGGACCTTTGAGTTCTCTGAGATCAGTCAATACTTTCTACTTACACCAGGTTGACCAGATTCCCTCCTACTTCTGTGTCCACAACCTTCCCTTCCTTCCCCCTCTCCCCCCAACACAGAAACTGAGAAACTTTTCAGTTCAGCACTTTTCACTGCTAAGATTGATTATAACTGTAACGATTCAAGACCTGCCATTTCTTCCAAATCAGATAGCCAACACCACCTCAGTTATGCCAGATTTGAAAAGCATCTTACCAACCTCTCACTGATTTACTCAGGGCAATACAAGGCCTGAGCATTTAACTGCAGCTTAAAAACCACAGCGATCTTCTGTCCATCTTGTTTCGTCCAGCCATTTTTGCAGATGTCACCAGAAGGCTATGTTGGGTACACAAATCATACCTGGCTCATCATCTGCTTCACCTCTAGGAGTTATAAGACCCTCCATATTTCAACCCCACCCCACATTTTTCAGCAAGGGTGAATCCATGCCTACCGTGAAAAAGAAAACTTGACCAAGGTCTCTCAACAGCAAAAATTAGAAAGATACTGAAACAGTTCTGGTTTCTTCAGGACAATGTGTTCCCATGTAATGGAATGACCAGCATTTCATCCTGCAGTGTAGCTTACAATCTTCACAGGGGATTATCTACTTCTTAGGAAAATGCAGCATTTACCTACAGGTCTCTCTGGACACCCATACAAACAAGCAACATCCATTCCTCCAGGAAATGACCAGCACCAGGAACAGCTAAGAGAAGAAACAATCTTTGCCCAGGGCTATGTACCACCATGCCCAGGGACCCTTACTGATGAAAGCATCCAAGGTCTTTAAAAGCAGTTTGAGGAAAGGATTATTTTTGGCAGTATTTAGTGCCAAACTGCCTAAGACTTTGGAGATAAAGTCAGTTACTTCTCAAATCGTGGCCAAAAGGCAGCCACTGGAGGCAGAGAACAGGGGCTTCGCGTCACTCTTAAAGGCTGCTCGGAACAAATCCCCCCTCCACGATCAGCAAGTTGCTCTCTCTTTAACAGACCTTGTTCTGGATGCAGCTATGTGGATAGGAGGCCTCGTGCTCCACCATCCTGTTGGAAACAGCCCGATTCAGGACGGCAGCCAGAACAGCGCCATGCACTGACCCTGAGAGGGGAGCGGGTTAGTGCAGTAACATCACTTTAGTCAAACTCAGTTCCGCCCAGTGTCTAAGATTCACACCACCCCAGTTTCTAGTACTTGCCGCCTCCAAGTTAAAACCTTTTTTCTTTTCTTTTTTTTTTTTTTTCAACGTTTTAATTTATTTTTGGGACAGAGAGAGACAGAGCATGAACGGGGGAGGGGCAGAGAGAGGGAGACACAGAATCGGAAACAGGCTCCAGGCTCTGAGCCATCAGCCCAGAGCCCGACGCGGGGCTCGAACTCCCGGACCGTGAGATCGTGACCTGGCTGAAGTCGGACGCTTAACCGACTGCGCCACCCAGGCGCCCCTAAAACCTTTTCTTTAGCAGAAACAAAAGTGCTCAGGTTTTTCTTCTAGCTGCCGGCAGAGACGCAGCATCCACCATCACCACTGAGAGTCAACAGATGCCAAATGGCAGTCATTCTCCGAAAGCAGCATTTAGCCACCCATTGCTTTCAGAGATTTAAATACTCCCTTCTAATTCTGAGACGTTATTAAGGACCCTGGGCTAACTATGTTTAGAACAGAAATATGGATTCTTTTTTGCTCCAATTTATATCCCAAACGTAGTTCCCTATGACTTAGACTGGAAGACACAAGGTACTTGGTTTTCAAACATGCATGGTGACATGAACCTGTGTGACAGACACAAACTGCTCCAATTCTGAAGTTGGAGTAACCATGCCAATCTAAAAAGTAGCCAATTGAGAGACCGAAAAGCACATTAAAAGAATTTTTTTCTTGAGAAACAAAACTCAGTAATTTTTGCTTGATGTTTCTATTACTACACCCAGTCTTCATTCCCGTTTTATTGAGTAGAACTCATCAATTTATAAACATCTATGGCAAAATCTACCTCTGTAGTAGCTGTGAAAAGGATTCAGGTAAAATATTTTTCTAACCAGCATTGAAAGATCTGAATAGAAGTGATAGGTTTTTTTTCTACAATGTTCCAAAGGTTGTAAAACTAGGGTTTTAAGTCCCCTAAAGTTCTTATAGTTGAAAAATACTGTGCTTCTCTATTACTTTAAGGAACCAAGGCAAAGAATGTCGAAAGATTAAATTCTACCACTACTACACTTGGAGAAGCCAAAAACTTAAAAGATTTTCTGAGACCTCCAAAAGTCACTGAAATATGCTGCCAACGTTTCCCAGAAAACCAACCTAATAGAGGTGTTTTCTTCTGAAAACTGGAACAGAAAAGATTATTAAAATCCTGAGAGATGGGCCACTTGGGGTCCTAAACACTGAGCTCCTATCCCGTGCCTGGACCCAGAGAAGGCTGGGTGTGTAGCTGACCCACAACGGTACTCCAGCTTAGTGCTTATTTACATGTTGGGGGAGGAGGGGAACAAGACACCTGAACTCATGCATCATTCCCAATTCAGCTGCTTCATCATTCCCAATTCCCGTTCACTGCTACACGTGGAGAGGAAACAGGTCCTGAAAGACCCAGGTAACTGAGGTTCCGCTGTTTCCTTTCTTAAGTCCCGAACGCAGAAGCCTAAATGGCATCTATTAACATATAAAGGTTCAAAAGATGTTCAAAATGGCCCTCTTTTAAGAGGCCACCTTCATTAGCAGTTGACTAAAAAAAGGCTTCATCAAAAAATGTGACAAATTGGTATGTAGATTATATTTTCTTTAAAACCCTTAACATATTATCCAATGCTAAACTTTCTCTTGTCATCTGGAAAAAAAAAAAAAGAGCTGGTTATAAAAATGTCTATATATGTAACTCGGAGTGGAGTCCTTTCTCCAGAGAAGCCAGGCTAAGAACATGAAAACCAAATAAAGGATTTTTCTTTTCCAATAATGACGTTTTAAACAATTCATGAATCACCATTACTCAAACACCCACTTCCTAGAGTAATTAAACCTGGTTTATTAAAACACACGCTCTTCCCAAGCCAGCGCCCCCCAATTAACTGACTTCTGTACGCATATTTTGCCCTTATCTTTTTACTCAATCATATATTAAAAAGGTAAGGACATGGAGTATTACACTACTAGGATATCTTTACAGAATTTGTACCCGGCTTTAACTGCATTCTTTACATGTTGCTACCTGTCAAGAGAGAACCCCCCCCCCCATTCTTTCCAAACACTGTCCAGTCATGTTCTTGTCTCAAGTGAAAATAATTAAGAATATTTTTAAAGCTGTCTAAAGGGCAACAGCTTTCCAAAATAATAAAAGAAAAACAAATAAAATAGGTAAATGAGTAAAGCATAACTATCAAATTATAAATCAGTTTCTAACCATAATGGAAACACACTCATTGTAGCAGACAACACTCACCTTTCATCCTATAGTGCTTTACTGTGAAAACATTTTCACATCTATTACCTCATCCTAGCCTCACTACCATCCTGTGAGGGAGGTACTGCAGGGATCATTAATTCTATTTTGTTAAGTGGGGAAAACGAAGCACAGAGAGGTTAAAACACTTGGCCAAAGTCACACAACTAGTTAACGGTAGCAAGTTATCTGTGACTTTCACCCTACACCACAGAGATGACCTAAAGGCCAGGGCACCACTGGCTGAGGCCAGAGCGATGTGATGCACACTATTTGCAATCTACACTATCTGCAAACTTTCTTACCCTTTTCTGGTCAACTTTTCCTTTTCTCCCATTTCTTTTCTCACTGTTTTCTAGGTTTAGCAGAGGACACTTAAATACTTCTCAACAAATCTTTTAGCGGCACTCAGAAAAAATGGTGTTAATTTATGAACCTGGAAAGTGGCTGTAAACGTGTGGCCCAAGATGATACTGTCAACAGAAAACTTCTTGTGGAACAGCACTCTCCAACAAAACTTTCGATGATGACAGAAATGTTCTGTATTTACACTAATTCAGTCACCACTAGCCAGCCTCATGTGACTTCTGAGTGCTTCAAATGTGTGCAGTACAACTGAGAAAATGAATTTTTAAATTTAATAGCCACATGTGCCTAGTGGCTACATTAGCACAGCTGCAGAGTCTTCAGACAACCTCAAGGTATTAGTAAGAACAGAGGTACCTTTACAACTGGTAAAATTAGGGGCGCCTGAGTGGCTCAGTTGGTTAAGTGCCCAACTCTTGATTTCGGTTCAGGTCATGATCTCATGGTTCGGGGGTTCAAGCCCCACATCTGGCTGACCCTGCAGAGCCGGCTTGGGATCCTCTCTCTGCCCCTCCCCCACCCACACTTGCTCACTCTCTCTCTCAAAATAAATAAATAGACTTAAAAAAAATTATTACAGGGGCGCCTGGGTGGCGCAGTCGGTTAAGCGTCCGACTTCAGCCAGGTCACGATCTCGCAGTCCGTGAGTTCGAGCCCCGCGTCAGGCTCTGGGCTGATGGCTCAGAGCCTGGAGCCTGCTTCCGATTCTGTCTCCCTCTCTCTCTGCCCCTCCCCCGTTCATGCTCTGTCTCTCTCTGTCCCAAAAATAAATAAACGTTGAAAAAAAAAAAAATTACACAATACACTCTACAACACCCTTACTGGAACCTCTCAGAAGCAAGACCATCACCTCATTCAACCTAGTATTTTTAAAAATTTCCTATTTTTCCATTAAATAATAGTAGGCCGAAGAGAATAGTCCAATGGCATGGTTTTTGACCCTGCTTGTATAGTTCACAGACCGAATATATTTGAGCACTCAAAAGATACTCCCCCAAATCTAGGTTTACCATCTAGATTTTTAACATAGGGATCTCTCTAGATGTCTCTGTTCCTCTTTCCTACAACAACCTATCACCCAAGGCAGTAAAGAGTACAAAATCCTAGGCATTTAAATTCTCAAAGATAAGGCTTCCTGAATATAACAAAAGCAGCAGGTAATCCACAGACTTTTATCCTCCCTTCTCACATGAGGTGCTCATTTGCCCAGGCAGAGTAAACTTCCAGCAGAACTCAGATAAATGAAGACTGTGGGATAAAGTAACCCACAGTCTGTGATTCTATACAGCTGCGGAGGAACATCTTGGCAAATACATCTGAAAAGGGGAAGTGTTTGCTTCTCCCAAGAGTAAACCGTACTTAAGAGTGGTAAACATGCAATCTATTATATCCGCCAAAACAGAATTAAAGACACCACCCTGCCAGCCACGTGGTCCTGCATTCTTATCTCTGTCTTGACCTAGACCCCACTGCTCAGTTCTGCCACCCAGATCCCAGAGCAGTTCACCTTGAAACTCTGTGTTGTCAAGGCCCCTGATGGCCTCCACTGCATCCTCTGCCCGCTCCATGTGCACGAAGGCATAATCTTTCACGATGTCACATTCGATGACTGGACCATACTCCTCAAACTTGGCGCGAAGCTCTTGGTTGGTACAAGTAGGACTGATGTTGCCCACATGCAACTTGGTGGAGGCTTTGCTCTTATTCTTGCTGGCTTCCACATTGATGTTCACCCCATGCAGCTTGTAGTGGTGCAGGTTGCGTATGGCATCCTCGGCCGCCGTCTTGTCCTCTATGTGCACAAAGCCGTAGTTCTTAATGATGTCACATTCCAGCACCTTCCCATACTGCTCGAAGAGTGAGCGGATCTCCTGCTCTGTGGCCTCCCGGGGCAGATTTCCGATGAACAGCTTCACCATCCTGACAAGAGCCTGGGAGGGAAGAAACAAGATTGCCAAAAGTTAGGGGTGGAGCGGGGAATTCCAGTGCATTGCATTTGATTTAGCCCTCCAAAGAAGTTCTTGGCACCTTCAAGATTCATATAAAGGTTCACTATTTTTTCAGTAGAGGGGAAAGGTTTATACTTAGGGGTAGTATGAGATGTGACACACAAACAGGAGGCCGGGGGTCAGCATGCATGGCATAGTCTATCATCTCCGTGAAACGAGGAGCATTTAAATAACAGGGTTGGCTGTTTTATGTCTTAAAATACTGTTTGGGGAGGGCAGGAAAGAGCTCAAGAAAGGGACAAGAGGCATGTTATCTTGAGTGACCCCGGTAGCGAGGTTTTGGAGGGAAATCTGTGCACGTCTCCTCCGGGCGGTAATACCTTCAAAGACACTCTAAGAATAAAGAGGCTTCCTTGGCCCCAATCTCGTACTCCCCCAGCGACCCAACCTCCAGTTCTTTCGCCCCAACAAAGACTAGACTCAACCCGACCCCTGCCCCGCCCCCTCCGGAGACCCGGCCCCGCCTCCTCCCGTTGTCTTCCCCGGACCTCCCGCAGCCAGAGAAACCCAAACCTTGTTCAAGCCCCGTTCGCCAGAGGCCCAGCCCGGCCCACCCCCGGGCTCCCCACAAACCCACAAGACCCACTCGCACCTCCGGGTGACGGCGGCGGTGGCGGCGGCTCCAGCGTCAGAGAGAACCCTACAAAATGGCGACGGCCGCTCGAGCCTCGGCGCGACCGGGCCCTTTCTCGCGCGCCAGCTCACGCACGCGCGAGTGCGCTCTGCCTCCTTCCCCTCCCCCTCGCGGGAGCCGGGCGGCCAATCCCGCAGCCGCATACAAATGGCTGCCTCAGGCTAGGCTCCCAGCCGCCCTGACACGAGGGCGGGGCCAACTGGTGACGTCGCTGCGGAGCGGAAGTCAGTCCGCCCCCAGCCCCGGCTAGCCAATCAGTACCTTGGAAGCGGGGTTGAGGGGAGGGTCGGAGCTCAAGCGTCAGAAGGGCTCCGGACGCAACCATTGCCTTGGTGTAATCGGAAGCCTCGGATGTCGCTAATCATCACAATGGGTCGTGCTATTGGGGGGTGGGGGCGGGTAGCTGATGACAAAGGGTTATCTCACTGGGTCCTCTAAACAGGGGTTTCTTACCGGGCTGGCCAACCTCTTTGGTAGCTTGGGATAACATTTTAGAAACAAGGAAGCATTTTAAGCGTTTTAAGCAAACGTAGTCAATTTTTGTAGAGCTTTAAATATAACAATATAACTTAGTTTTTTTCACTGCAAACATGTTATCCACTGGTGAGGAAAGAGAACGAAAGATGGCAGAGCTAGGATAGCTCTATGAGGCATTGTTACCCAGGCTACGTTTATCAGTAACGTTTTGTTTGCTCATATACATATGTCGGCTGGTTTTCTTTAGGTAGGGTATTAACTCTGATGTGTGTCCTTCACGGTCCCTCGTCCGTGGTGAACACACCAAAAGAATACTTGGTGCAGAGGCCCAGAGAAATTCCTTGTTTGGACTGAGGGAAGGGGTGAGAAAGGGTCTCCAAGTCCACACCAAGCTGCTGGAGGTCTAGGCAACTGTGACTCCTCAGCACTTTCTAGCATTCAAAATTCAGCTGTAGTCCAAGGGCACCTCCTGGTGGCAAAAGAGAAGCTATTTAAGTGGATTACTCACTGTCATCCTTGAACAAAGAATAGACGTTTATAGAGATCGATGGACCCAGTTTATCTCTGAGTGGAGCATGCCAGTGAGGTTGTCAATCACCATTGTTCATTGTGGTGGCTCCAAAGAAGCTTCTCTGATACCATCAGGCACAAATTCCCCAGGGTGCTCTCCTCCTCCCCAGCTACTTTGAGAAGTTTCTTTCACGGAATTCTTTTTTTGTTTCCCACACCATTTCAGAAGAGGCACTGTCCTTACAAATTTAATGCAACTCATGATTTCTCCTACTGCTATCTACTTCTCTCCTTCCCTCCTCCTCTTGGTAATTTCCAGTTTCTCTCTACACTCTTTTTTTTTTTTT